TTTGATATAGAATCATTAATTACGTATACAAACCTTATAAAAAACGTATCATTTCCTTATTTCGATTTCTTATAAGGGATCAACATCATTTTTTCATATTCATTCAGATAGTATTAGAAAAAAATTATTTAGATAAAATATGGCTAGACAAACATTCTGAAGGACTGTAACTGAGAAAGAGGCTTTTATTAAAATTCTAGATACTAATGCAGAATTACGTAAAGAATTGGATGATGAAATAGCTGAAATAAACTTAAGGATAAAAATCCAAAATCTTTTTCTAGGGAGCTAGAAACCTGCTATAGGATATTATCTCATCATGATTCAGAAATATTAGCTCATGAAAGTGAAATAGCATCTCTTAAGTCTGAGATAAAATCTCTTAAACAGCATCTTCATAAAGTATTACAAGATTTAAGGCATAAAGATAATGCAAGTACTACTCAAGAAATTCCTATTTTAAGGCTAGAAAACATGGTTGAACGGCTTAAGAAGCGAATTAGGAAGATTATAGATAAAAAATTATCCTAAATAAATAGTTCACCAATGGCGTTACCAAAACTTTTAAGAGATATTGCTACAGCTATAAACTGTGTTGAATTATATATTGATAGAGATAGATCATTTGACCCTAAAAATACCTTGAATGGTATACAAATAACATTAATAACTGTTTATGCTCATAGAACACATATTAAACTTGTTTATGAAAGTTTGTGCTTAAACTTGGTTAAGCATATTTATTGAAACAATTTAACATCTCTATATCTAATGGTAGGTCAATATTGTGAAAAAAATAACTTGCATTCAAAAGTGATTTTTGAAGCATTAGTCTCTTGATAGCAAGAAGAATAAAAAATTAAAGTCATTTCTTAGAGGGTTTGAATTGGCTCGATAAGATACCAAAGACAGAATCTGAAATTTCGAGTTCTTATTTAATAGATATGAAGAAAAATGATTTGAAAGTTTCAATTATTTGCATAAACTTTTGACTGTTATATAATAAATGAAAATGTCACTTTTGAACAGAGAAATTACTTTCTGTAATGGGAAAATATTTTTGTTTCAAGATGCATCATTCCTTCTTTAATTTTTGTTTAAAGGTCTCTATCATATATATTTAGAAATTTTTGTTCTTAAGTTTACTTGGGAGAAGTGTTGTCATGGGACGTGGACACGGATATGGACCAGACCGGAATGGACTGTCCGTGTCCATGTCCGAGATTTTTTTATGTCCAGGACTTTTTTTCCGCATTAATGCTGGACATATCTCTTGTTAATTCTGGCCAAAAGATATCTAATATCGGTCCATGTCCCAACTGTCCTGCGGACACACAGTCCTGGACATGGACTTTTGGACGTCCCGTGTCTGCCAAAAATCACCGGGACAACGTCCGTGTACAACACTGCTTGGGAGTAATGATACTGTTCGAAACCTATTTTAACGTGTAGCTTAAAATTTAAAGTGACTTTTTCTTAAATCTGTAACTTGATTAAACTTTATTGAGTTTAGATAAACCTATTAGAAGTTTTGGTTATTACAAACAAATAGTTTAAACTCAAAATTTACTAATTTAGTATTTTTGAAATATTCTTGTACGTCGTTATTCCTTCTGGAAATAATCTATTACAATAATTATTGCATAACGTAGTTTATATTTTTCTGATTTTATCCAATGTATTTGTAAATTTAAACATGTAAATTTGCTAGATAGAATAACATGAAATACATAAAATATCAATTGGTTAAAATTCAAGTTTCGTCTCACAAGGATTTGCGAAATGCTTTACAAAATTACAGTATTTTTACTACGACCACTTGCCCCAACTGTGACACCTAACCTTCATGGGGGAAGATTTTAGAATATTTTGTATATTTATATATAATTTGTCAAATAGGTAAATTTTCATTTAAGAAATTTAACGTTAAATTTTAACTTATCGCCCCGTTATAATAACAGAAAAAATCGGTCATTACAATCCCTACCTGTACGAACTTATGATCATTGTTATTTATCAATCTACAGTATATCTATTGTTGGCCACGTTAATGTAGAATGTACCATCAAGAATTGCCATTTCGGATATGGCCGACCACAGACACAGGAAATTAGGAATATTTTAAATCACATTATATGTTTAAAAAGTAGAATAATTATTTATCCAGCGCGTATCCCTTTCGCATTCCGATTTGGGATATCCGAAATGATCATTTCGCAATTGGTATTACAATGAAGATGACCATGAATTTTTTTATCACACACTCGAATTATGTTTGTCAAGACTTTACGTAATGATTTCCAAACTCTTCAAAATGAAAATAAGGAACTTAAACAAAAGCTCAATGAAATTGATGATACTACGCGACAGCATGAAGAAAAGGTTAAGAAAATTTCCATGAAGTATAAAAAGATCGAAGAAGACTTGGTAAAACTTCGTTTCGAAAGCACAACGTTCAATAGCGAGTTTCAAGATACTTATTTAAAACAATATCACAAATATACTGAATACGACAAAGAAATCTTTGAAAAATATGTAAAGTCTGAAGAAACCTGGCCAAATTTAAATTTCAAATTGAAACCACAAATCTCAAAATAAAACTTGACGAGTATCCCAAATTTCAAGATAATTATTTAAAGCTACATGATGAATATACTGAACTCATGAAAAATTACAGAGATCTTTCAGAAAAATATTCATCGCTTTTTTGGGCGATGATTTTGGTTATAATTATTGGTTTTTTTATAATCTTTGGTCTTCTTTTCATTTTTCAGACTTTTCTGTCTTTAATGTCGGCAAAAAATTAAGTCATTATTATATTATACCAATAATTTAGACCTAGCATCAGAGACAAGATTTATTCGTAACGATTCTGAATATATTCATGTATAATATATTTTTATGTAATTTTCAAAATTTGTAAGAGAAAAATAATTTACTTTATGTATAATAAACTAGGAAAACGGAAACATTTGAAATTTTCTATGAGATAAAAAGTTGATACAAAATACATATAATGCACCAACGATGTGCCAGATTGTAAATTTACAATTAACATCAATATCTGGTTATAACATCTTTCTATGGTCAATAGGTAACATAATGTATTTGTATTTACATTTAATTTTCCGAGAATGTATAAACATAAATATTATGAATTGCCAATTAGTAAGTACTCTAAAAATAATATTAAAGAAATTGAATCCAGAAATTAAAAAAAAACCAATGCGAAACATCTATATTTCAACCAATCAGGCTATTTGCTTTTAAAAAGTCGTGCGCGAATAGTATTCCTTTTACCGTTAAAATTTTAACTTGTTAACCATTTTATCCGGTTAATTAACTGGTTAGAATTAACTTTTTATGAGCGTCCCAACAGCACCAATTTACTGTAAAAAAAAATAATTAAACTTTGACTTACAATATTTCCAATCACGAGGTAATGGAAAAAGTAATCAGCTTATAAAGCTTTAAATTAATATAATTTTTTTATCATTAAACATTGATGGATATTAAATAAAACTTACGTAATGGTGATAACACTTCAAACGGAGCTTTAAACAAGAGCTCAATAAAATTGCTGAATACTACGCGCAAACATGTTAAGGAAATTTCTTCCGAAGGAGCAAACAAAACTTCGTACCGGAAGCACAATGTTTATAATTGGATGCATGATACTTATTTAAAGCAGTATCTGAACACGGCAAATAAATCTTGAAACATTCGTAAAATCTGAAGAAAGCATGGCCAAATTTTTTATAATTGAAATCACAATTCTCGAAACCAAACTTAAAAAGTGCCCAAATTTAAAGAATCTACATGGAGAATATGATGAATTCATAAAAGAGTTCAGAGGTACTTCATAAAAATTTAAAATTTCAAAGAAAGGCCTTGCTTTATTAAAAATTTGTTGCAACGTTATATATTTTTTTTTGTTCTGTTAAAAAAATGTTAGCTTATGAATTACAATTACATTGATATGTTTGGCTTTAACCTTTTTTTTTTTTTTTTTTTTTTTTAAAAAAAAAAAATAATGTGCTTAATTTTAAATTAATTGTTTCAATTAAAGAACATTAGCTATATTCGTTGTATAAATTTATTCAATTGATTGGTCGAAACGACATTTTGTGCTCAATCTTACGAATTTATGAATTTGGTTCCACAATCTTAAATAAATTATGTAAGAATCTCTTGCACGCTAACAACAAACGATATGTTTGTGCGTTGGCATATTCTATATTAATCTTGTGAAAATGTATCATCATTAAATTCAGAATTTTGAATTAAATGATTTTGTGATTTCACGTATTGAAATTAAAAATAAACAAAAATGGAATGAAATGAAATTTAATATTGAATAATCAATAACATAATAGCTTATCGCTTTACAAAATAATATATTACATTTAAAAATCTTCATTTTTTTTATTAATTTAACTACAAAGAATTCCAAAAATACCAATTAAATGTCAAAATAACTCACTCTAGTCATTTGTCCATTTGGCTTCTCGCTTTTCAACGAAAGCGCTCATTCCTTCCTTTTGATCGTTCTACAATAATCACGAAAACCATGTTAACAACGCGTCTAAAAAAAAAAAAAATAAATAAAAAAAAAAATCAAAATGGATCATACCAATGAAAAAAGGCTTTGGAATAATCTCCTTTCAAAGTGACATCCTTCTTTCAATGATAATTCAAATGCTATAAACAAAATTTTCGTCAGTTAAATGAGCTTAATTAGAAACGTAAGCAACATCACATTACGCCTTCATATGTTCAACTCACCTGCATTAATTGATTCTTTTGCAGCCTGAACAGCCGGTTGAGAAAGATTTGCAATTTCTTGACCCAATTTAATAGCTTCATCAAGCACTTTATCGATAGGCAATATTTTACTAACCAGACCCCACCTTTCAGCTTCTTGAGCACTAAAATTACGACCCGACAATACAATTTCCATCGCTTTAGATTTTCCTATTGCTCTAACTAATCGTTGGGTTCCTCCAGCGCCTTCACATTCAAAAATATGGAAAGTCACATGATTAAAAAAGTGTTACATTAAATTTGTATAAAATCATAACCATCACTTTACCTGGAATGATGCCCAACTTGATTTCTGGTTGTCCAAAAGTTGCTTTTTCACCTGCATAAATTACATCACAACACATGGCCAATTCGCATCCACCGCCCAACTATAATGATTCATCAAAATTAAATATTTGTTTCTATGATATAAATAAAAGAATACATATAAATACGAGAACAAAATATACATACGGCAAAACCATTGACGGCAGCGATAGTTGGTTTCTTGATATCATTAATTTTTCCCCAATGTCCAAGAAAATTAGATTTATAAACCTGAGCGAATGTTTGGTCCGACATTTCTTTAATATCAGCTCCAGCTATATAAAGGTTCATTGATGTCGTCAATAAATTATAATGACTGCGTTAAATGGGGAAAAAAATTCCAAGAGTAAATTTTTACCTGCAAAAGCACGTTCGTTGCCGGTAATCACAATAGCACCGATGTTGGAATCATCGTCATACTTTAGTAGAGCATCATTAACTTCATGGAATAAATCGCTTGATAAAGCGTTTAATGCTTTTGGGCGATTTAAAGTAATTAAACCAACTTTTCCATGGGATTCCGTTAAAATATTATTATAATGTGTTTGGCTATTCGCATGGCCTTCTTTAATTATTTTAATTATTTTTTATTTTAATATATTTTTTTTTTTAAAAAAAAAAATTTTTTTTTAAAGATTAACAAGGGAAAACTTCATTTGAAAACTTACTTTGCAAGGCACCGAATGTACTAAATTTGGCATTATTTGATGCTATTAAAAATCTAGTAGCTTTACTTCCTCTATTTAATGGGCGTACAAACGTGAACATTTCTTCGTTAAAAAAATTAGCGATTAAAAAATAAGATGTAATTTTATCAATATTTATAATAAAATCCGGGATCCTGTATTGCGAAGATCGTTGAAACAGTAGACGAAGGACAAAATCCAATTTAGGGTTGAGTTCTATTAAGAACAAATCACGTGAATAATTTATTACTTCATTTATTAAATTGGTTGTAAAAAGCAAACAAAGCAACAAATAAATTCTTCACAGTTTGTATATTTATAAGTAATTACACAATGATGGTAAGATTATTTACTTTGAAAATTTTCAAAAAGAGACATGCTTGAATTGAGAAAATGAAACTTTAAAATTTCTTGAATAAGCAAGTAAAGAGATACCAGATGTTAGAGAGTACAGTACGTTCATTATATTATATTTATCATATCCCAGAATTCTAAGAAAAAAAGAAACCTTTTTTTTAGTCAAAAAATTCCGTGCGAATAAAAAAAACACTCAATCTTTCCAAAGAGAAATGATTATGAAAAGCATACCTCATCTTCACGACGATTACACAAAATTCTTTCCAACAATTCTGCATTATGATCCTTTAATTGATGCGTATTTTTAAAATTTTTTTGTATAATCACCTCGGGATACGTGCGAATATAAGTTACGACAAAAGAGATTGTTGTCAAGTATAGAATAAATTTCGAAGATGAATCATTTTCTTTAATACGGAAGTTGGTATTTATGTGCGCCATTTTCTTGGAAATTTTTTTTTTAAAGTTGATGTTACGAGAAAGAAAATTTTCTTGAATTATGAAATTCTAGGGGGGAAGGACAACCTATTAAATACTTGAATCAATCCAGGGCTTTCCAAACGTGGCTACAAATGCGTATGCATAATTTATCCGTTTCCGTTCATTGTTCACATTAATACAAGCCTCTTTCAAAATGAAAGATACCATATCACATGATGCACAAATATTATGTCCCAATCCACGTGAGAGAAACCAATTAGAACAATACAAGCAAAAAAAAAGCCTCATTTTAAGCAAATAAAATATAATACGTGAGAGGTTTTCGTATGGTTACTAAATTAAGATGTGAAAACAATATCTTTATTGGGTAATTCCGAATTTTTCGCAATATATAACGTTAGATTGTATACTAGCAGTGGAATTTTATTGTTTGATTCAGAAATAAATAACATTATTATCTGGGAAGAACAACTTTGCACGTGTGAATTGATACATCAAGAAAATAAGCAAAAGGAGATCCATTACAATAAAACGCGTAAAAGAATGCAACATAATAATAAGTATTCCGTATCAATTAATTATAGGATTAAAATCGGACCAACACTATTTATATAAAGCAATGACAAAAGATTGCGACTGTAAAGATCTGTAAAAAAGACAAATTACATTTATAAATACATTCCAAAAGAGAAAATAAATTATAAATTAAATTTTATAACCTGTTTCACAACAGCCTGTAATAAACATATTAAAATTCGAAATGCAAATAAAAAATTAATTACTATCATAATTTAACGTATCGCATTAATAAGGAAATAAAATTTATGAAATATATTTGGAAATGAGGCTAAACTACGCGATTTTTGCTAGTGAAAAAAAAAATTGCGAAATCTTCCGCATAAAGCAACACGAGCTAAACTTTAAATATATCTAAATTATTTCTTCAAAAATGTGGAAACCAAATAGATAAGAAACTTCTTAGCATATTGGGAAATTTGATTCAGTTACTGCGGATGAATTAAAAAAGGTATTCCGATCTTTTTATAAAAACAAACAGTTTATTGACATAAAAAGACAACATAATCTCGCAACAGCCTTCTTATCGATATACTTGGACTATGCGGAATTTTAAGTGATCGATAATTGTGTAAGAAACCTCTGGTGAGCGAATAAAACGGGCCTGAACCCTAACCTTGATTTCAACGCTAATAGTAGGTTTGTCATTTACCACATGATCGATAAAAATTATAAATTTCCTTTTTTTATTAATGCGATTACGCCGCATGGCTGTCGGTCTTCGACGTAAATAGTTACTCCGCTCATATCCATAATGTATAGCACGAGTCATCAAATGCTTCCAATCATATTAATAAATTAGAGAGTCATTGTCATATTTATGATTTCGAAAATTTAGGTATTTTACCGCAAATTAAATCACGTTTTGGAGAATATCGGGATTAAGCGAAATCATACGGTCCATTTTTAACAAAAAAGATTATCCTTCAAAAGATTTTAAAGATTGAATTTAATTTTGTTAATTATGATTAATAAAAAAAAAGGAGTTTGCTTTTATGATGAGTAATGAGAATTAATGCGGAGACGATTTGCAATGTATGCAAGCTGCAATACGATAATGTTTTTTTTTGTAAAGGTAATTGTACAACATTAATTATATATATATATCCATGATTTTGACATGTTTGTTGAACAAAAAAATTTTTTTTTAAATTATGACATCCAATATTAAAATTCTTAAACCTTCGGATCCACAAGGTTCAGATTTATTAGCTCAAGAAAGAGCCAGAGCAACGTTCGATGTAAAAAAACTTACTTTGGCGTTGTATGGTTCCAAAGAATTGGAGCGTCTTAATAGAATTTTAAAAATATTGGAAAATGATCCAGTTTTTGATAAATCTAATATATATTATATGGGAAGAAATGAATTATTCGAACACGCTTTGAAAAAAGACAAGAGATTAGCACAATTGATCAAGTACGTGATGATGGTGTTTTTTCCTTATTTATAATTAATATGTAATTAAACAAGAACTTAACTTTTTATTTTTTATGTTATTTAATTTTATATAGAAAGCATAAATGGAATGTTGAAGAAATTCAAATCGCCGATTTATTTCTTGATTTACCAGGGCCCGTAAGCATAAATTAAAATTTTTTTTATTTTTATAGTTTATTTAATTACATTCATAATTCTCTATTTAATTACAGTTTGGACTTCATCGAGGGATGTTCATACCAACTATTTTCGGTCAAGGTTCCGAAGAACAAAAAAAGAAATTCCTTATTCCAGCTCTTAAATATGAAATCATTGGATGTTATGCGCAGACCGAATTAGGTCACGGCTCCAATGTTCAAGGGTTGGAAACTTCTGCAACTTATATTCCGGAAACAGATGAATTTGAAATACACTCTCCTCATTTGACTGCCTCTAAATGGTGGATTGGAGGTTTAGGAAGAACCGCGTAATGTATAATTATGTAAAGTCACGTGCGTCTATACGTAACTTTTTATATTAACCATTGGTTTCTTTTTTACTCCACAGTAATCATGCTATTGTCATGGCACTATTGAAAAGTAATGGAAAGGATTTTGGTCCACATCCATTTATCATTCAGATTCGAGATATGGAAACGCATCAACCTTTATCTGGAATCACAATTGGAGACATTGGTCCAAAATTTGGTTATAATTCCACCGATAATGGGTTTATGCTCTTTGATCACGTACGAATTCCAAGATCAAACATGCTCTCCAAATTCTCACAAATTAAGCAAGGTACGGGAGAATATATACGTCCACCGAATGATAAATTATCTTATGGTACCATGGTTTTTGTACGTGCCATGATTGTCACGGGTGTACGCGTTGCACTAGCACGTGCTGCCACGATTGCAATTCGATATTCAGCTGTGCGAAGACAATTTGTTGACAAGGATGAACCAAAGAAATTAAAAGACGGGTAACTCTTTTTTTTTAAAAAAAAAAAAAAAAATTTTTTGAAAATGAGACTTTTTAATCGATTTTTATGACTTTAACACATATCTTTATTACTTACTTCTAGTCGAATAGTTGAAACTTGTGTATTGGATTACACTATGCAACAATATAGATTGTTCCCTGTAATCGCCCAAGCTTACGCGTGTTACTACACGTCTAAAGCTATGGTTGACTCATACATGAATTACATGAAACAAAGTTCTGGTGGTGACTTTTCTTCATTGGCAGATTTACATGCATCAAGTTCGGGATTAAAATCCTTGACAACTTCAATGGCAGTGGATTCAATCGAAGATTGTAGAAGAGCTTGTGGTGGTCATGGATATTCAAGTTTCAGTGGATTTGTTACCTTTTATCAAAATTATTTGCCAAATACAACTTGGGAGGGTGATAATTATATCCTTACGCATCAAACTGTTCGTTATGTAAGTAAAAGGATGAGATGTAACGTTCGAGGGTAATTTTCATTTTAGATCATTTTTAACAATTTTAATAATATAATTTTTTTTAAAAAAAATAGCTTTTAAAAACCTTCCGAGAAGTAGTATCAAATAAGAATCCCGAAGCATATTCTCATTCAAATACGAGTCCAACAATTACTTATATTCTTCAATTTCTAAATAATCCAAACCAAACTTGTACCGCAACTACACCATCCGATTTCAAAAATCACGAAGTCCAATTAAGGGCATTTGGACATCGATCGGCATACCTAATCGCCAATGCAGTCGATCAAATTGATAATCATAAAAAATCATGGAATTCCATGTTAATTGAAGTCAACAGAATTTCACGCGCACACTGTCAATATCTCATGGCAAGAGATTTTATAACGGCACTTCAGAAACGTCATCAACAGGACGAAGATGAAAGGTTGCGTGTATTACATGATAATCCTGCATTAATAGAAGTTATGACCTCTGTATGTAATTTATTTGTATTAAACACTATGGAAAAAGAATTGGGAGAGTTTCTTGAATGTGGATACTTAACATCATCTCAAGCTAAATTAATAAGGTTTCAGGTTTATGATTTATTGAAAGAGATAAGACCAAATGCTGTTAATTTGGTTGATGCGTTCTACGTTCCAGAATTTATGTTACAATCCGCTCTTGGTAGATATGATGGTAAAGTTTATGAAACGATGTTTGATTGGGCTTCTAAGGAGCCATTGAACGAAATTACCTTGGACATCAACCCTAATAGTGAAGTTTTATTTAGAAATAAAAATGGCAAGGCTAGACTTTAAAATATTGTATTTAGACTTTAATGGTATTTTTAACTTTTGTACTTTTAATTAAAGTAGTATATAGAGTTTAATAAATTTATACTTTATCATATAATAATTTCCAAATTATAATTGCTTAAATAGTAATTTACAATAATATTAAATTTTATCGTGAAGTATTTATTTAGATCGAATCAAACTTGAATTCTTTAAAAAGAACGAACGTCTCTCACGGATCTTTCCTAAATAGCAAAGTTCCTGGACATTGATTGTGAAACGAGAATAAAATCTCGATCGATGAGATAACAATTGATTTTTTTAACAGAAATCTTTACGTAATATTGTAAATCACGTGATATTGGAGTTCATGTTCCTTTTGTACATGAATTTCGGATATTAACTGATGCGCCCCCTTGGCCAAACTGATAAAAATGAGCAACAACATGCACATATGAATAAAATGATAAATAGCAGGTAAATAAAATGCAGAATGATTTTAAAAATTTTTTCAGGGAAAGAAAAATTATTTTTCGATAGTAAAATCCTTTTGAAATGATAGATATTTCCGTTGAAAACAGTTTTAAATTCCACATACTTGAGGCTTTAATAAAGGATGGGGTCATATGCAAGCCGATAAGTTCAGAAAACTTTTTTATAAAACATCAAAAGCCGTTGATGGTAGGCACTGCAGTTGTTGTTACTGGTGTTGTTTTGGCTCCCGTTGTAATTAAAGGAGCAGCATTGGCGTTAGGATTTTGCAAAGATGGCATCGTTGCTAATTCGAATGCAGCATGGATGATGTCGTTATATAATGGAAATGTCACTTCTAATAGCATCGTGGCGATTTTACAATCGGCTGGTGCAACAAGTTTAAGTATTGAGACAATGATTGCTGCTAGTTCTGTATTTGGTATTTCTGCTTGGTATATTGCTAAAGAAATGCTAAATACTTTAGATTCAAAAAAAGTCGCTGTTGATAATAGCATGTTAGCGATGTTACAATCGGTTGGTGCAGTAGGATTAGGTATTGCTGCTAGTTATGGAAGTGGTGTTTTTGGTGGGAATATTTCTAAATCAATGCAAAATACATTAGATTCAAAAAAAGCAGAATTGAAAGAATTGGAAAATTTTGTATCCATTAATGAAAGTGATGATGGCATAAATGAAAAAAATATTTTGAACAAAAAAGTGATTTTTGACATGAAACAACAGCTTCTTGATATTGATGAGAATGAAAAATTAAAATCATTTCTTAAAGGGTTTGAAGTAGCTCGGGATGATTCTAAAGACAGAGCAAAGAAATTCGAATTTTTGGTTATTAGAGATTATGAAAGATTTTATAAAGGTAGCAATATTTTAAGGAAATTAGTATTTTTTTTTGATAAAGATAGAGAAAAACTTTTTAGAGGATCCAATTTTTTGCATCAATATTTGATTGATACCCACGGAAATGATCATGTTACTTTGGAAAATAGAAGTATCTTTCTGAATTTAAATAATCCTTGAGCACATTAATATGTAATTTATTATCAAATTTTGTTTTATATACTGTATATATATATATTTTTAAAGGAGGTTATGTTCTTAGATTTGTTATAAAATATGGAGAAAATTATCATGATAAATACATGATAAGTTTTTTCTCAAAATATACTGTTCACCTCCCCAAAGACATGACCATATTAAAAAGGACTAACTTTGAATCTCTTTAAAATGGAGAATAAAGAATATGAATAAGTTTTGATTTCTTGAAAAGAAAGAGCTTGCAAAAAAAAAGACATATTTATTTATATTACACTTCCTATCTTTTACATTTCAAACAATTTACTTCGAGTCGGTATTGCAACCTACGTGAAATATTTAATCGAACAAATTATAAATATTTTCTCGTGACGCGAATTAATTTTAAATTACGAATTTGTCGTTTTTCACATCACAAGTTTAAAATATAAATAAACAATAATCAGTTCATAAGGAATGGAGCAAAGAAAAAACTGAGTACAAAAAAAAGAAAAAGAAATAACTTTACAATTAATTTATATCCTTATTCTTCATTTTTTTTCAATATCTTATTCATTACATATAAACTACCTCGGAAATATACAATTCTGGAGATTTAACATGTTTTCAATAACTTCTTTTGGTCATTCAATTACGACATGCATAAATATCATACAATACTCCAGTGAATTATATAAATAGCCGTAAGATTTAGAACACGAAAATTTCAGTTCATAAATCATCTTGACAGTAAGATCATCACATAATGATTAATTTGTCTGAGCTTCCCATTGAAAATGTTTTTAAAGTTCTCATTTATCGTTCTTTAATGAAGGGTGGGTTCATATCCTCGTACATATATAACAAGGAGCGACTGTACAGACACAAGAGTTCACTGGATAAGGAATTTAGAAACATGTTATTAGCTAGTGTGAGTGCTTTTGTTGGGCTAATAGCAGCGTTCAAATTTAACAAAATAATGATGATATTCCATAAGGGAGCTGTTAGGCTTGCGGAGATGTTACAATCGGATCGTGTAGTGGCTGGTTTATGTATTGGGGCAGTTATTGTTGGTTTGTTGGTGCGTTTATTGTTAACGCTAAACTAAAAACAAATTGTGATCTAGTAGTAGAAAAATTGAATGATTTTGTTATAATTCATGAAAGTGATGACGAAAATAATTTGCACCACAAAAAATTGATTTTTGATGTAAAGCAACCGCTCATCGAACCGCTCGCCACTAATTATGAGAATAACGAGAAACTATTAAAGTCATTTTTTATGGGGTTTGGCTTGGCTCGACAATTTACCAAAAAGAAAGCAAGGATATTCGTATTTTTGTTTAATAAAGATGATGAGAAGAGATATCGTAAAGGGATATATTTATTTCATCAACACTTAATCAAAATCTACGGAAAAGAACGTGTTATTAGAGAACAGGGAAGTTGCATTCTGAACTTTAATAGGTAGATTTATTATCAATTTATATACCCATTTGTTTTTAAAGGAGGTTTTAATTATGAATAATCTTTGATTTTCAAAGTGTTTCTCTAACATTTATATATAGAATAATTATTATCAAATTTTTACTTTATATGTTTTTTTAAAGAAGGTTTATATTTTAAATTTTTAGCAATTTAAATGTTATCTAATATATTTACTCTGATTATGATAAATAGTAACCTTATTTCCTGTAATCGATCGTAATAATACCATAGGATAGGATAGAATTTTATTAATAAAACACAACAATTGCTCTTCAAATATTTCTCCAAAATATAATGGCTTCTGAAAACGCGACAATAATATTGGTGGTATTTCTATTGGTCGGTACCGTATGAAAGCTATAGACCCCAAAGAACAATTACCAACCTGGGTTTCATACAATTCAACCTTCAGATTTTAATCACGATACATCATCTTTAATATCAACGATATATTAATCCACTAGAAAAAATGATTGCTTAAACAAATATTTTCAATTACTGTAGAATATAAAAAATCAGAAAATTGAGAGGGAACACTTTCTCTATTGGAGGAATTTAACCCCGATCCATTTAAAAACTTTTGCATAATGCCTCCCATTAATTAAACCTTTATTTGTAATAAAAAATAACTGATTACTCTTCAATACCATATCTGACTGTCTTCAATGCGGTTTATAAAACAGCCAAATGTAATTTATAGTGAATTTTTTTTGTTGACTATTTGAATTAATGTTTCATGATTTTTTATCAAATAAGATGATTTGAATTGTCTTGATTATGCTAAGTGCCAAGCCATACTTACAATATCAGCATGTCGTGCATGTTGTTGCGATTGCAGATATTGATGCATAAAACTGTGTCAAGACAACAATATCAGCATGTTGTGCATATTGCGATTGCAGATATTGATGCATAAAACACGGAAATTGAACACCTGACAAATTGACAAAAAAGTGCATGATAAATAGCCGTAAAGTGCAAAAATTTTTTTTCGAAAGCAAGAATATTTATAATGACGATTTCTACGTTTAAAGCTCTCATACTAGATTCTTTTATGAGAGATGGTATCATACAAGCTCCAGAAAGTTCAGAAAATTTTTTTAAAAGACATCAAAAGTTGTTGATGACAGGAACTGCAGTTATTGCTGGTGCTATTTTGGGTCCCATTGCAATTGGTGGGGTAATAGGAGCTTTGGGATTTGGAGAAGCTGGTATTGCGGCTGGATCTATTGCAGCATGGATGATGTCATTACAACGTGGAGCTGTCGCTGCTGGTAGCCTTGTGGCGATTTTACAATCGGTTGGGGCAGCTGGTTTAGGTATTGGGGCAGTTATTGCTGCTGGTTCAGGAGGTGGCATTTTCGGTGGATTTATTGCAAAAGCAATATTGAATATATTAAAATCGAATCCTGAAGGATTAGCAGAATTGGAAAATAAGTTTGTTTCCATTAATGAAATTGATGACGACGATGAAAAAAATCAATTGCATAAAAAAGTGATTTTTGTAATGAAACAAAATCTTCTCAAAAGTAATGAGAATAAAAATTTAACATCATTTCTAACAGGATTTGACTTGGCCAGGGGAGTAACCAAAGAGGAGGCAAAGAAATTCGAATTTTTGTTTAATAGAGATGATGAAGGATGTAGTGAAGGAATCGAAATTTTACATCAACACTTGATCAAAATCAAAATCAACGGAAATGATCGCGTTACTTCAAAACAAGGAAGTTACGTTCTAAATTTGAATGATCTTTGATGGAAAGATACTCCTTTACGTTACTTCAAAAACAAGGAAGTTATTGATGGAAAGATAGATACTCCTTTACATGTAGATAAATTTTAGTTTATATATATATTTTTTAAAGGGGTTTATATTTTTAGAATTTTGGAAATTTAGATAATATTCGTAATATTCGTAAATTACACATAATTTTTTCATTGTAATCTAAGATTTTTTTCAGAAGACGTAAAAAAAATAAAATAAACACGGATAATTAATTTCCGAATGAAATTTTATCGGTTAATTTACAACATTTACAATTATTAATTTGATTTCTATTAAGGGAATCTTATTTTGTACTCAGGGGACGGGTTAATATGATGAAAGAATTACTATATCAAGGAATTTATTGTTTTATTCTTCATTTTGCACAAACAAAAGTCTATATCAGGACCACCGAAGATTCCGCGTATGATCAAGGGATGACAATGAATCAACTTTGTAACGTCAAATATTTGCTCAAATTGAATTGTGATTTCCTAAACGCTTTAAAAAATGAGAATGAAGAACATTAGATCAAATTGATTGTTAAAGTTCAGAAGGAGGTGAGTTTGATTTCTTGAAAAGAGAGAGTTTGTATTAAAATAAAAAATTTATATTGCTTAGATCAACCTTGGACTCGGGTGTAATTAATGCACGTGATATTCAAATCACGGGAAACAATTTACCTCCTTGAATCATTTTATTTTTTTTAATAAAAAAAAAAAAAGAAAAATGCTCAAACTTACCATTTTAAAACAATTGATTTATAAGAAATCGACCGATTTGAAATTTTTATGCATTTTGTGAACAAAAAAAAATAAAATAAAATTTAAAAAAAAAAGTGATAATCAAATCTGGGGTAAAAAGGTAAAAACCATAGTTGCTCATTTGATGATTTACTGGTCGTATGACTTCTTATTATTATTCAATTACCTAAAATTATTCCTAAAAAATAATGATTTAATAGTTTTTCGGCAGTCGGTGATAGACCTTTAAAGGTTAGATCCGATGGAGGAGAATTTTCTTTTTTCTAATAGCAAGATCGGCACGAAGCACATGACAACAAATTAAAGAATAAAAAGCAACAATTAACCAAATTTGAACTTTTTTTATTAAAAAAAAAAAAAATGTTTCCTCAACTTTCTTCCGATTGTTTGAATGAAATTTTTGAAAGTTTGGAGGATAAAGCTACTTTACATTCGTGCCTATTAGTTAATCATCTTTGGTGTCATGTTTCCGTTCGAATTTTGTGGAGGAACATTTGGGGTGACAAATGCATGCCGCACAAATTGCATCAAATTCTCTACACTTTGACGGCATGTCTCCCTAATGAATCGAAAGAGCTATTACTTAAAAATGGAATTTATATTTCGAGACAATCAACTCTTTTCAATTACGCATCATACTGTAGAGTTCTCTCGATTCATGAAATTGATCGAATGATTCAACACGTTCTTAAAAAACAATGCATTACATCAGCGAACTTAAAATACCATAAATATCTGTTGTCACAAGAAATATTAAAAATGTTCATGAAACAACTTCCTTCTTTAAGAGAATTGAAATGTGACACAATTGAAAATCATGAAAATCTTCCTACCTTTATAAATTATCCGGGAGCGATAGAATGTTTGAAAAATCTATCGGTGTTAAAGTGTAGTTCGGACATTTATCCTGAATTCTATTATCAACTATCACAATTGTGTCACAATATCAAATCACTAACTATAAAATTCAAATTCGAGATCTCCAATGGATTAATAAATTTAATCTCCTCACAAAATAATCTAAAACATTTAACGTTAATAATAATACAATCAAGTTTTGACAAAATATGTACAAAAGTCATACCTTCGTTGACGATTCATTCAAAAACTTTAATCAAATTACGAATTTACGGGGGAGAGAATGATGGACCTTTATCATTTATCGCTGATTTTAAAAATTTACAAGAACTTTTCATATTATTTTATTATTTAGATACATTTAGAGATTTTAAAGAATTACAACATGTTGATTTACCACATTTGCGAATTTTAAAATTTCCATACGGTTACCCAAATCATGTGTACTTAACCAAATTCTTGGAGAAAAATGGAAAGAATCTAATAGAATTTGATATTGGTGATGATAACATTACATCAAATTTGGCTATTGCCAAATTTTGCCCAAACCTTAGGATCCTTTCTACTTTAATAGATGATTTGTCAACATTAGAAGAAATTCTCATTAATTGTCAACAATTGGAAAGTATTAAAGTTTGGTGCGGTAATAGCATTCACTTTTTTGATGAAAAAGAAGTATTGGAACTTGTCGCAAGATGTTCACCCAAAAAGTTTTATGAGCTAAAGATTTATTACGCGGATAACGTACAATCAGAATTGCTTTCAAAAGATTTGGAATCATTTCTATTAAATTGGACCAATCGGATACCGCTTTCGCTGATCATCATTAATAATAATCGTTATTGTACAAATAGTTTAGATACGAAAAAAGAAAATATGCTAGTTATTAAAAAATATCTTAAATTAGGTATAATCAAAACATTTAAAATTTTGATAGATGATGATGAATAAATTAATAAAAAAGACTAATTTAATGGTTTCAAATTTGATTAATCAACCCGATCAACGTGTGAAACAAATATCTTATTTACTTACTATTTAGACCTTTTAATAATTCAAAAGATCGTTGGATAAATCTTATTCCAACAATCAATTGCCAAATAATTAATAATTGCTAAATTATATTATTTATTTAATTTAATATCTTTACTGAACTTCTTTCTTAAAGAGGTAATAATCATTAATCCTTAATAAAAAATATATAAAGCATGTTAAATAATAAAACATGGTTTTTCTTCCAAATTTAGAAGGAATTTTACTTACTAATTAAAGATAATTTTAGATATATTTAAAAATTAGTCATCAAACAAATAATATTTTATAACATTTTTTAAGTAAAATCAAAAAAAAAAATTTACATTAATTAGTAACTTTTTGCTTTAATTTAAGATCAAACAAAGTTTTGAATATTTTTTAATAAAAGTATTTTCTTTATAAAAGCTAAAATTTTTAATTTTTATTTATTTTTATATTATTAAAAAAACTTTACAAAATATATAATATCAAATTTAAAATTGAAAATTGAAAATTTTGTATTTTAATTATTAAAAATGTTTATTATAAATTGTATAATGTATTTTAAAAAAAATGCATTGAAAATCATTACCATTTAAGGGATAATATTTTATTTTTCAATAATTCGATATTAGGACATAACTACCATACGTTTAACACAAAGTGTCGACGAAGTGGAAACGCGTTCTATTATACTTTCCATTAAAATTATTAAGGTATTCATCAATTTATAAAGTGATAAAAGTGAAGGAAGAAAGTTTGGATAATGAATTAAAATAGTTTATAAAGCAATCAGTAATTCAAACTCTATTTAAATATGATGAGCTTTTGCTCCTTAATACGAGTCGAAAGGTTGTAAGAATCGATCAATATTAGAGCATTTTGCTCAAGATTTCAGATCGCTTAACCCAATCTCGATGGTTTGGTAAAGTCAATAACCTGTTCTTATTTTAAGGTGTTCTGAACTTATTTTTATTATTCAAGTAATAAAATAATATTGCGACGTTGTTTACTTTCTGCATACTATAAATTTTTGAAAAACTGATAAAAAATATATTTCGAAAAAAAAGATATTTTTATGTGAAATTACATTGAATGATATAAAATGATTCGTCAGTTGTTTTTTTAATTATCGAAATTGTATTTTCAATAAATTTTTTTGTGCGACCGTTAAACCTGAGTCCTTAAAAATGATTTAAGGATAATAATATTGTTTATGCAAAATGATGTAATATAAAATCCTAGGTCCTTCCATTCAGCTTTTGTTTAAGTTCTTTATTCTCATTTTAAACGGCAGAATTCCAATTGGGTAAATCTTTGATGACTAAGTTGATACCTCGTTGATCCACAAAATCATCGGGCCGGATATAGACTTTTGTTTTTGGAAAAAAATCAATAAAATCCTTTGTTATAGTGAAAGTTATTCATAATAATTTTTTTAATCGCCCCTGATCACAAAACAAGATTCATTAATATGAAAACCGAAATATTAATTAATAATTGTAAATTAATAGTAATGGCCGAAAAAATTCATAAATCAGAAATTTCCGTTGTTATAATCGGAAAATTTATTCAATGGTTTTAAATCATTACCTTTTTATAAGAATAACTTCTTTCTCCCATGTGAAAACAAATCTCTTTCTGAAACCAATTTCTTAAATTGTTAAGAGATACAGTTATTGAAGGTTTACAATGAAAAATATTTTGTTTAAGCAAGATCTTGCATGAAATATTTTTAAAGTATCTGTATGTATATATTTCGCTGATACAATTTGTTTTTTGGCCTTCATGAACCACAATTTTATTGGTTATTGCGTTTTGGGGGGGGGGACATTATAATTGGGAATACATATAAAAAAAGAAAAGAAAAATTATAATCTAGGAATCTAGGGTATCTTACAGTTTTTAAAAATTGATTACTGGAAAAAGGGATATAATAAATTTTTTTTTTTACATTCTTAACATAAATTTCAAAAATAATAACCCTCCTTTTAAAAAAAATCTAAAGCAAAAATTGATAATAAATCTATGTTAAAAAAAGGAGGATTTATTGTTCTTTGAAAATCAAGGATTATTAAACTTCAGAAAGACACTTCTCTTCATGTCAAAAATCTGTTTCTTAAGCAAATTATTTTTTTCATCATCATTTTCGTCGTCATCACTTTCATTAATGGAAACATAATTTTCCAATTCTGCTAATCCTCCAGGATTCGATTCCGATATCATTAGTATTGCTTTAGCCATATACCCAGCAAAAAGACCACCTCCAGCACTAGCAAAGACCGCACCAATACCTAAACCAGCTACACCAATTGATTGTAAAATGGCCACGAGGCTACTAGCAGCGACGGCTCCACTTTGTAATGACATAATCCATGCTGCAATAGAACCAGCAACTATACCAGCTTCACCAAATCCCATAGCTGCTACTAATCCACTTATTGCAAATGGGCCCAAAGCAGCTCCAGCAATAATCGCAGTGCCTGCTAACAAATATTTCTTGTTTCTACTAAAGAAACTTTCTGAACTTTGCTGCTTGTGTATAAACTCATCCTTCATGAATGAATCTAAAATGAGACTTTTAAAAATATTTTTAATGGAAATCTCGGATAAATTTACCATCGTAAATGTCTATCCAAGTTTTTTTTGTTTTTTTTTTTCAATAATATCTGTACTTCACATTCAGGGGTGCATAAAATCTGTGACTAGTATAAATTTATATACAATATAAAATGAATAAATTAAAAATATTTAATTAATTTGATTGGTAAAAGAAGTACTTAATCATATGAAGTAGTATAGTAATTATTATTTAATATTATAATACAAATTAACTTTACTTCTATTATATTTGCATTAGAAATAATAAATATAAATATAATAGAAATTTATTGTATATAATTATAAATTTTATAAAAATTCCAAAAAAAAATTTAAAAGCTAAAATTATTTTGTAAAAAAAAAAAAAACCAAAATCCCTTAAATCGTAGGGTTTTGCAGGCAAATTTGCCTGCTTATTTACTTTATTTACTATAAATTCTCTTCTGATTTACTTTTAAATTAATTTTGTAAATATATAATAAATTATAGTAAGTTTTATCTTTTAATTATATATTAAAAAGTTTAAGATTACTTAAAAGCTAAAA